GGTTTATACCCCGCCCTTCACTCAGAGTCTCAGAGCGGCTTACAAACTCCTTTCCCGCCGCAGAACAGACACCCTGTGAGGTAGGTGGGGCTGAGAGAGCTCTGAGAGAAACAGCAGGTGCCAGTGGAGGAGTGGGGAATCAAACCCGGTTCTCCCTACAACCTGTGAGGTAGGTGAGGCAGAGAGAGCTCTGACAGAAACTGCTCTTTTCGAGAACAGATCTGACACAACTGTGGCTTGCCCGAGGTAATCCAGCAGCTGCAAGTGGAGGAGTGGGGAATCAAACCCATGTTCTCCCAGATTAAAGTCCACGCACTTAACCACTGACCAAACTGGCTACAAGCATCGACAGCTTCAAGAGGGGAGTGGATAAACATCTGGAGCAGAGGTCTATCAGTGGCTATTAGCCATGAGGTAAAAATGGAAGACTCTGTCTGGGGCAATGATGCTCTGTATTCTTGGTGCTTAGGGGGCAAGAGTGGGAGGGCTTTTGGAGTTCTGGCCCTGCTGGTGGACCTCCTGATGGCACCTGGGTTTTGGCCACTGTGTGATTCAGAGTGTTGGACTGGATGGGCCACTGGCCTGACCCAACATTGGCTTCTCATGTTCTTATGTGCAGCTGGCATTTTTCTGGCTCCTCGCGAGTAAACCTTTGCTTCCGTTTCAAAAAGCAGAGGGGTGTTCTGGAGCTAATCTGCAAATCTTACCAGAATGGCTATGGGTAGCTCCCAAGTTAACAATTGGTTCCTTTTTAGCGGACAACGTCTTAACAATTGGTGGCAAACAAGTGTTATATATACATCTCTAAATCACGTGTAGCAAGCACTTCCAAAGGCCAACTTATCGAGTACAGACATCGAAATCCCCAAATATAGAAGCCAACTTCTCAGGTACAAACAACTCCCAAATACATCACAATCAGTCATTATAGAAAAACAATATACCATTAGAGAATCTCTGCAACAAAAATTCTTATACTACTATCAGATTTACAAACCTAACATGAGAGGTTTATTCTCCTAAAAAACAGGACAGTTCCAATGCTGCATTTAGCCCCCTAGGTTGTTCCGTTTGTAATTTAATTTATGTGTATCTAATAATTTATGTGTATCTAATACAGTAAATGGTTTAGATCGTACTACCTCTAATACTACGCAATCGAAGTCATTGTACCCATGCCCCCTTTCAATGAAGTGTGGGACCATAGGGGCTGTTAGGTGCTTGTGTTTTAATTTGGATCTATGTTCCAAAACACGGGTGCGCAGAGTTCGAGACGTCTGCCCGACATATCTCAAACCACAATGACAGGTAATTAAATATACAGTTGATTTAGTTGAACAGGAGGAGAACTGCGTACGTTGTTTCTTCACATTAACCTCCGGGAAAGCCAGCACACCTGTCTCTCTCATGAACGGACAGGCGGCACACTTCCCGCACTTAAAGTGCCCTTTCGGTAAGCAATCTTGTTGCTGTGTCTTAAAGGTATCAGCTCTCACAATACTGTCTTTGATGTTTTGTGTTCTTCTAAAACCCACACGTGGTGGAAATTGGCAAGCCGGAATATCACTCAAGATATGCCAGTGTTTCAGAATTATTCTTTTAATACCAAAAGCTCTGTTTGTGTAGTCGATCGCCCAGCTTAGCCTGTCATTCATACACTCCTCCGTTTTTGTTTGAAATAATTCCCGGCGATCGCGGCGATCAGCTCTAAAGCAGGCATTAATGATGATCCAACTAGGATACCCCCTGTCTTTAAATATACCAGATAGCCTTTCTATTTCTATTTCATAGTCTTCCCTTACAGTAGAGTTTCTTTTAGCCCTGAGAAATTGACCATAGGGAAAATTTGTTTTCAAATGCTTCACATGATGTGAATTAAAATGTAAGAAGGAATTTCTGTCTGTTTCCTTATTCCCTTTTGAAGCCATCCATGCTTGTAGCCGCTGCCACTTCCTGTGGCAGTGAATTCCATGTGTTAATCACTCTTTGGGTGAAGAAGTACTTCCTTTTATCCGTTCTAACCCGACTGCTCAGCAATTTCATGCAGTGCCCATGAGTTCTTGTATTGTGAGAAAGGGAGAAAAGTACCTCTTTCTCTACCTGCTCTATCCCATGCATGATCTTATAAACCTCAATCATGTCCCCCCTCAGTCGTCGTTTCTCCAAGCTAAAGAGCCCTAAGCGCTTTAACCTTTCCTCATGAAGACTACTTTGTCAGATGTGTTAAGAAGCCATGTTGGATCAGACCAGTGGCCCATCCAGGTGCCTTCAGGAGGTCTACCAGCAGGGCCAGAACTCCAGAAGCCCTCCCACTGTCATCCCCCAAGCACCAAGAATACAAAGCATCATTGCCACAGACATAAGAAAGGCCATGTTGGATCAGACCAGTGGCCCATCCAGGTGCCTTCAGGAAATCTACCAGCAGGGCCAGAACTCCAGAAGCCCTCCCACTGTCATCCCCCAAGCACCAAGAATACAAAGCATCATTGCCCCAGGCATAAGACCTTATGAAAAGCCATGTTGGATTGTGCCAATGGCCCATCCAGTCCAACACACTGTGTCACACAGTGCCCAAATCCCAGGTGCCATCAGGAGGTTCACCAGCAGGGCCAGAACTCCAGAAGCCCTCCCACTGTTGCTTGTCAAGCACAAGAATTCAGAGCATCACTGCCCCACATATCATGTACTATCCATCCCTTGTGGCTAATAGCCACTCAGGGACCTCTGCTCCATATATTTTCCCAATCCCCTCTTGACACTGTCTATGCTTGTAGCTGCCACCACTTCCTGTGGCTCCTGACTAGACAGGCATGGGTGGAAATGACAAGGGAGTCGATACCGGCTAAATATCAGGAGAAACTTCTTAACTGTAAGAGTGGTTGAGCTGTGGAACAGACTGCATCAGGAGGTGGTGGATGCTCCTTCGCTGGACATTTTCAAGTGGAGGCTGGACGACCATCTTTCGGGTATGTTGTAGGGCTATCTTTCGGCTATGCTCCTGCAGAGTGCAGGGGGTTGGACTGGATGACCTGCAAGGTCCCTTCCAACTCTAACATTCTATGATTCTATGTATATATGACCTTGGGAGGACAAACCCACACCCCTAAAGGGTGAATTGGCTCTGAAATGCAGGAAGTACAGTGTATGTAATATATATATATATTACATACAGAAAGGACATATATATAAAATATGGATATAATCAGTACTTTTGTGCCTCCCTTGGTACTTCTTTGCTGGAAAATGGGGAGTCTGAGACCAGCAATGTGTGAAAAGCTGCACACGGTTGTTGAACTCCAAAGCCACCATTCTTTAATGCCATTTTAGACGTTGGCTTTCTTTCCAGTCATTCTTCTGTGGAGGGACTAACCGAGGGAAGCCACACAGCTTTCCGTTTGCACAGCCTGAACAAGGCTGTTAAAATAGGACATTGTGACCCCGTTGTTTGGCTTCTAAACTCAACATTCATGTGTGAGAATCAAGAAATCCATGTTTCGGACCTGGCCTCTACCTTATTGGCTACGGCAAGGTTGTCCATCGCTGCCTCCTGGAATTCCCCCAACCCTCCATCAATTCAACATTGGCGAAATAAATGTTTGGACCACTTTATTATGGACTAGATCGCTGATACTTACGAAAAGCAAACTGATAGTTCAAAAGGCACTCCCTCGAAATTTGCCCAACGGTGATTTCCATTACTGAATTACTTTATGGAAAGTGACATTCTACCATCAAATTCCAGGTACATTGAATGGCTGCATTTTTAAGATCCATATTTTTAGTCTGAGTGCTCCACATAGGTTCAGTTTTAATAGGTACTAGTCAGCTATGCGTTTTACAGTTTGAGCACATAAGGTTTAATTTGATTGAACTGTCACTGTATTTTGCTGTGTTTTTTTAACTTCAATATGTACTGAAGCAATATTTTCAATAAACTTTGTTTTTTGGGGGAAAATAGGGCATTGTGGAGGTCATTAATTCTTAGAGTCACCATAAATCAGAAGCAACGTTGTTTTATTTATGTTATTTATAGTCCGTCTTTCTCACAGGGGCTCAAGGCGCATTTACACACAGCGATTCAGTACAATCGACAAAAATGGGACATGCCATAACTATCAGGATCTTAGAAGCCTGGGACCACCAAAAAGAACTGACGCATAGCAATATTGGGATGTTAAGAACAATTTATTTTGCTTTGAAAACTATTGAGAACAGATTGAGATAGTAGTGGAGTAGAAGATGATTGTAGTTAAAGAAACAGTTACCTTTAAAGTTGAATATAAGATTAAGGTAGTTAAAGAAATGTTAACTATTAAGGTTTTGATTTAAATGAATGGACAAGAAAAAGAGATTTGGTGGGGGTGGGAGCACTGCGGGAAGCTTGAAGAAGGGGAGGGAGAGAGAAAAGGGAAAAGGATATATTGTTAATGATAATATTTTATAAGATTGGACGTATAGTTATATCTAGACAATAAAATGTTTTTTTTAAAAAAAAGAACTGACGCAAAGCAGAAGTATTCACCTCACACATTACGCAATACAGAAAGGACATAGATAGGACCCTACTTACAATATACTGTATATCGGCAGAAAAGACCACAAGTCCCAATCAATTTGGCTGGCTTGCCTCGAGAACCAGGAAGTTATTAGTAGCTCAGTCAGATAAATGTTAGGCATTTAGCCATTTTGTATGTATATTACAATGGCTGTGTTCGTCATAACTGCCATGCTCTCATATCTGCATGTCATATTTTATTATTTTATATTTTATAACTGTTTCATTGGTTTTCCTGTTTAACCTGCTTTGGTTTTATCTGTTTTAATGTGCTGGCTCTTGCCAAGAATAAATTTCATTAATTCCTAGAAGTCTGGAACCACCGAAAAAGAACTGAAGGATAGCATAAGTATTCACCTGACAAGTTAAGCAATACAGGAATGACATGGATAGGACCCTACTTACAATACACTGCATAACAGCAGTAAAGACCACAAGTCCCAACCATTTATTCAAGAAGGTTTGTGAAATCGTTTTTGTACTGTGCAGCTCTATTACCTCTTTCCACATTCAGAGCTTGCCGTTATTTTCTCTTGTGTGGATGCTCTGATGGGAAGAGAGAGATGAGCTTTGACTGAAGCTCCTTCCACATTCAAAGCATTTAAATGGTTTTTCCCCCGTGTGGATTCTTTGATGGGAAGAGAGAGATGAGCTTTGATTGAAGCTCCTTCCACATTCAAAGCATTTAAATGGTTTTTCCCCCATGTGGAATCTTTGATGGCAAGTAAGGCCTGACCTGTTACTGAAGCTCTTTCCACACTCGTCACATTTGTATGGCTTCTCCCCAGTGTGGACTCTCTTATGCAGAGTCAGAATATCATTTCGACTGAAACTCTTTGCACATACTGAACATTTGTAAGGTTTGTCCCCTGTGTGGATTCTGCTATGCACCGTAAGGGAATGCTGCTGACCGAAGCCCTTTCCACACACTGAGCATTTATAGGGGTTATCCCCGGTGTGGATTGTTCCATGAGAAGCAAGGGTTCTGTTGGATCTAAAACTCATTCCACACTCCGAGCATTTAAATGGTTTCTCTCCTGTGTGAATTCTTTCATGGGAAACAAGGTATGACCTGCGAGTGAAGCTCTTTCCACACTCTGAGCACATATATGGTTTCTCCGCTGTCTGGATTCCATTATGTAATGTGTGGACCCTGCTATGCAAAACAAGGGAATCCTGCCGACTGAAGCCCTTTCCACACTCTGAGCATGTATAGGGTTTCACCCCTGTGTGGATTCTATTATGCACGGTAAGGATATCGTGCCGAATGAATCCCTTTCCACACACAGAGCATTTATAGGGCTTTTCCCCGGTGTGGATCCTTTGATGGGAAGTAAGTTTGTTGCTCTGACTGAAGCTCTTCCCACATTCAAGACACTCATACCGTTCCTTCCCTCTGTGGATTCTTTGATGGGAAGAAAGGCCTGATCTGTTACTGAAACTCTTTCCACACTCTCCACATTCATACGGTTTCTCTCCCATGTGGTTTCTCTGGGAGGAAAAACGAGTTTTGCTCTGACGGGAATTAGTTGTCTGCTCTAAGCATTTCTCCCGTTTGTGTGTTTTCCGATGCAGGCCCAGGGTCGGTTTAGATACTGAGTTTTTGGAACGCAGCTGCAATGTACTCTTGCCTTTGTAACCTTTTTGGATTGGGGTGTCACGGAAATAAGCCCCATCAGAAGCCTCATATTTCTTCCTCCATGTCTGCCTTCCTTCAGTTTTCCTTCTCGGCAATTCTTCCACTCTCTCCGTCCAATCGCCTGAGGAAATAAATAGAAAAACCTGATGAGGGGGAAACAGAGCCTCAAAGCAGCAGGCAAAGCTCACAATTGTTTAGCCTCCAGCTCACATATGTTTGTCTCAGATCAGGAGGGGATGGCTCCAGAGCAAAGTGATGTATGCAGCAGCCCAATCGCTCGCTCACAACTTGAATGCCAGTCACTCACAAAGTAGGAGTTTTGCTCACAAGACTCCACAGCTTTGAGGGAGCACTGGTTGGGGTTTTTTTTTTGTAAATTTTTATTGAAGAAGAAGAAGAGATTGGATTTATACCCTGCCCTTCAATCAGAGTCTCAAGAGCGGCTTACAATCTCCTTTCCTCTCCCCTCCCCACAATAGACACCCTGTGAGGTAGGTGGGGCTGAGAGAGCTCTGAGAGAACTGCTCTTGAGAGGACAGCTCTGACAGAACTATGGTTTGCCCAAGGTCATCCAGCAGCTGCGAGTGGAGGAGTGGGGAATCAAACCCAGTTCTCCCAGATTAGAGTCTGCGCACTTAACCACTACACCAAATTGGAGTGGTGTTGTATTCCGTTTCAATTTTCAGTAACAACTATGACAAACCTTTAAAAAGGATAATGAACAGTGTTCTCAAAATTAATATATCACTAAGATATTAATCAATAGTTACCATAAATGAACTATATCAATTACATCTGGTATAACCTCTTGAGAAACCAAATATGATAGAATTGGTAACCATAAAGAAGTGAATTCACTATACCCATCATCAACCCTTATTACATTCAGTATATCTGTTGCCTTTTCTATTACATTTCCATTGCAATTGTTGTCTTTTACTTGTTTTAACTGATGTGGTATTTATTAATTGTTTTAATCTTTTGTTGTCATGTTATTTAATCCTGTTAGCCACCTTGAGCCTGCTTGTCAGGCAAGGCGGGGTATAAATACAAATAATAAATAAATATTCCACAACTTATTGTGCCATAAACTTAAGTTTAGTTTACAATCAGAATTCCATTTTGATGCAATAACTGTTCTTGCTGCAAATAACAATAATGCAACCTCTTTTTTTTGGTATGGTAGTTAGGTCATATTCATTTCTAAAGTTTAAAAGAAGTGATTCTGGACCCAAAATATTAACTACTGGACAGTCCATCCAATAATGTATGTAAGTCCCATGGGTTAAGAGTGGCAGTCTCTAATCCGGAGAACCGGGTTTAATTCCCCACTCCTCCACTCTAACCCGGAGGTGACTGAGACATGGCTCACCATGGCCGGATAACACTTTTGGAGGAAGGCCACACCTGACAAACAATCCTAAGCTGGTAAACGGCACTACAATGGGCAGATGAAATGTGGGCATCCATCTTTAGGTACACGTCTAAGAGCAAGCCCCCGAGATGCAAGTCTGCCTTTAATGCAGAATACAGCTCCATAAAGAACAAACTGGAACTACAATTTGGCATCACCGCTGATAGGCCCACCATTGAGTCCATTGGGATGCCGAAGCATGTCCTGAAGTTTGCAGTAAGATCAGTGAATGCAGTTAACAAGAGACAGCCACAAAGGAGGGGATGTGGCTCAGTGGTAGAGCGTCTGCTTGGCATGCAGAAGGCCCCAGGTTCCATCTCCAGCAGGTCGTAGGTGATGTGAAGGACCTCTGTCTGAAACCCTGGAGAGCGGCTGCCAGTCTGAGTAGACTAGACTGACCTTGATGGGCCGAGGGGCTGATTCAGGGTAAGGCAGTTCCATGTGAATGTGATGACATCCCAGAGCACTGACAGCATCGAAGAGGAGATGCAAGGGGGTGAAACACCGAAAAGGTTCCATAGGGTGTGAAGGCAGAACTCTGAAAGGTGGAATCAGCTGCCTAGGGGCGGGCTGAGGTCCCCTTCCCTGGCAGCTTTCAAGAAGAGGCTGGATGAATATTTGTCAGGGATGCTTTAGGCTGGTCCTGCATTGGGCAGGGGGTTGGACTAGATGGTCCGTATGGCCCCTTCCAACTCTTATGATTCTATGACTCTATTCCAGGTGAAGGACCTCTTATGATTCTATGACTCTATTCCAGGTGAAGGATAACAGGTGGAAAGAACTCTACATCAGACCATGGAGGGCCATTTCCAGTTAGAGCAGACAATACTGAGCCCCATAAGCCAGTTTGGTGTAGTGGTTAAGTGCGTGGACTCTAATCTGGGAGAACCGGGTTTGATTCCCCACTCCTCCACTTGCACCTGCTGATGTGACCTTGGGTCAGTCACAAGCTCTGGCACAGCTGTCCTTGAAAAAGAGCAGTTTGTGTCAGAGTTCTCTCAGCCCCACCCACCTCACAGGGTGTTTGTTGTGGGGAGGGGAAGGGAAAGGGGTTTGTAAGCCGCTCTGAGACTCCAAGTGAAGGGCGGGGTATAAATCCAATCTCTTCTCTTCTTCTTCTCTTCTTCTAATTCAAGGATAGATTTGTATTTCTCTATGTTCAGGGATACCTGCATTGCCTAGACATTTCCCCCACAATGGGTACACAAAGGACTCATCATTAAATCCACTCTCACAGAAATGTGTGTCTGACCCTAGATTAGGACAGTCTGAGATTTACCAAAGAGGAGGGGACTATTATAGCCTTCCCAGCCCATCTTAATTCTCATGAAGTAGAAGAGATTGGATTTACATCCCACCCTTCACTACCTGAAGGAGTAGCAAAGTGGCTTACAATCCCCTTCCCTTCCCCTCCCCACAACATGTGAGGTAGGTGGGGCTGAGAGAGCTCTTGACAGAAACTGCACCTGAGAGCACAGCTCTGACAGAACTTATGACTGACCTAAGGTCACAGCAGCTGCATGTGGAGGAGTGGGGAATCAAACCTGGTTCTCCCAGATTAAGAGTCTGCCGCTCCTAACCACTATACCAAACCGGTTCTCCAACAAATGAACTCTGGGGAGGGTGATGTTTTGTGAGCTGCCAAGTGGACATGAGACGGTCAAGCAAAGCCATCTAAGATGCTCACCACGAGGACTCACCATCTCAGTGCTCTGTAGGTCTTGGGTAAGATTAAGCACTATCTGTAAATCCCACCAGTTTTATATACAAAACATCTGATCACCTACCTGATGGTCCTTCTCCTTCATTAATGGTGTGGGCCAATGGATCTTTCTCTTCTTCTGATGGACCTTCTCCTTCATTAGTGGTGTGGGCCAATGGATCTTTCTCTTCTAACCAGGAGATCAGGTCCGGTTTGGGAACCCCTTCTGACAAAAATAAATACACCAGTTTGTTACCAATATAAAATATTTCAGTATCCCTGACCTCCCCACCTCCCCCCCCCCCCCCCCCCGCAGTGCTACTGAGTCCAGCTGGAGTCTCGGTGAAAAAAGGTGGGTTATGAATAAAATAAATAAAAATATTGTTCCAAACAGTGGGGGAAAGCGCCCTCAAGTCGCAGCTGACTTTAGGATATCCCATACTTGGCAGTCTCCCATTCAAATACTAACTGGGACTGACCCTGCTTAGCTTCTGAAATCTGAAAAGATCTAGCCTGAGCTATTCAGGATAGGGCGGGAAGAATACAGAAAAGACAAGCTGTCACAGCTCGAGTGGGGTGTCACCTGACGCTGCCACCACTCTGGTTCCTGGCTCCTCTGAGAAGGCCCAGAACACCTTTCCAAGTCTTTAGACCTCCCTTTTAGCCGAAATGAGCATGAGGACCAGGCAGAGCGAACAATGAAAACAGTTTATTTTATAGGAGGTCAAACAAACAAGGTGCAGGAATAATAACAGTAAGTGGGTGAAAAGAAATGAAATTCCCTAACGCAGTTAAATATACTGTCCTTAGCTCACTATCTCGAGTGTCCTTAGACTACTCGCCCTTGCCTCAGGATGAGGGTTTCTTCCTCACAGCAGCCTCTCTCCTGGCCCTGTTCCCTGGGAAGAAGAACAGCTTCTCTTCTTGCACCAGTTATTTTATTCCCCAGCCATCTTCTTCCCTATTGGCCAAAATTGGCACCAAAACTTCCCAAGGCCTTCTGGGGTTTGTAAGCCCAGCCTCCCCTACTGCAAGCCAGGCTCCCTGGGCCTACTAGGCCTCCGGTGGCACAGCCCAGATCATGACACAAGCTGTTATAAATTCCTGACCTCAAGCAATGCTCCCTCTAAGCCGTGGAGTCTTGAGCAAAAATTCTACTTTGTGAGCTCCTGGCGTTAAAGTTGTGAGCAGGCTATTTGGCTATGGCATGAATCAGTTTGCTCTGGAGCCCTCCTTCCTGAGCTAAGACAAAAATGTGTGAGCCGGAGGCTAAAAAAACTGTGAGCTAGCTCACAGTCACTCAGCTAAGAGGTAACACTGCCCACAAGTAGTTTAGGGCTGCGAGACCCCAGAAATTTCAGTTTGGCACTTTTTGACTCACTGTTTCCCACCCAGGAAGCTTGGATTCCCATGCCTATTGGGAAAGGTAGCGTGAAAGCAAAGCCAGATGTTTTTGATTTCAGCTGCCTCTCAAAAGATAAAAGCAAAGTCAACCTGGATGCTGACCTTCCTCCTCCAGAGGAGAGCCAGGAACTTCTCCTACAGGCCATGTCTCCCCGCGTATCATTCACGTATACTTATTCTCCAGTGTCAAGACAATGCTGATTGGCTGGAGATCCTTGTGGGCCCTCCTCCTTCCCACCCCATTAGCCGTCTGACACAGACTCAGTGAAACTCTCGTGACACATCGGGTTCCCAAATGAATGGGGACATTTTCAGGGTGGGAACACTATGGAGGACGAGGAATCTCTGCACAGCCATGTTGATTGGGAACCAGAGGCGTTCCTGAAATTGCATAACAACTATAACCCCCTTGTCCAGAACCAGCATTTTTACATTGCTTGTGTCCTTTGTGAAGCCAGCCTCACACCAGTGGGAAGAATCATAGAATGTTGGAGTTGGAAGAGACCTTGGAGGTCATCTACTCCAACCACTGATCCCTCTAAGCTGAGTTAGTGTGAGCTAGCTCACAGTTTTTTAGCCTCCAGCTCTCAAATTTTTCGTCTTAGCTCAGGAAGGACGGCTCCAGAGCAAACTAATTTATGCAGCGGCCAAATGGCTCACTCACAACTTTAATGCCAGTAGCTCACAAAGTAGCATTTTTGCTCACAAGAGTCCACAGCTTAGAGGGAACATTGACTCCAGCCCCCTGCACTCTGCAGGAGCATACTCGAAAGATGGTCGTCCAGCCTCTGCTTGAAAACGTCCTGAGGCAGTCTGTTCCACTGCTCAACCACTCTTACAGTTAGGAAGTTTCTCCTGATATTTAGCCAGTAACAACTCCCTTGTAATTGCCACCCATTAGATCTAGTCCTGCAATCCGGAGCAAGAGAGAGTAGATCTGCTCCGTCTTCTACATGACAGCCCTTCAAATACTTGAAGACTGCAATCGTGTCCCCTCTAAGCCTTCTCTTTCCCAGGCTAAACAGACCCAACTCTTTCAGCCTTTCCTCCTAAGACTTGGATTCCAACCCTCTCACCATCCTGGTTGCCCTCTTCTGGACACGCTTGAGCTTGTAAACATCCTTCGTAAAATGTGGTGCCCAAAACTGAACACAGGACTCCAGGTGGGGCCTGACCATAGCAGAATAGAGCAGAATAGAGAACAACAACTTCTGCCTGATAATTAGGTCTGCCTTCACCCCCCAAGACGGCCCGTGAGTTCACAGGCTAAGAAACAGGATAAGACCAGGGGAATGATGAACGCACTCACATCAGATACAAGCAACTCCCCCTTCAAGCTCAGCACCTCCCTAAACAGGATTTGCAATACTGAGGTCTGCCACAGAGAGACATCGACAGGCCTCTCCAGGGCAGATTTCTGGGGTTTAGCAATTTGTACCTTCAGACACATTTTGGACAAAGGCAAAGAGGAAAACTTACCCAGAGAGGCCACAATCCCATAATTCTCCAGCATGACCTCCTTGTAGAGGGCTCTTTGGGCTGGACTCAGCAGGGTCCATTCATCCTCGGTGAAATAAATGGCAATTTCTTCAAAGGTAATCATCCTCTGGGGGAAGAGGAGAAAATAATTCCCGCCTCTGCCACACATGCACAGAAATGTCTGGAAGGAGACTTTGAAGAAGTCTCAGAGCAGCTTACAAACTCCTTTCCCTTCCCCTCCCCGCAACAGACACCCTGTGAAGTAGGTGGGGCTGAGAGAGCTCTGGGAGAACTGCCCTGGACAGAACAGCTCTGAGAGAACTGTGATTGACACAAGGTCAGGCTGCATGTGGAGGAGTGGGAATCAAACCTGGTTCTCCAGGTTAGAGCCCACCCCTCTTAACCACACCACCAAAGTGGCTCTCTTTAAAAGCTGCCCTTTGCATCTGGGCCTCTAGCCAACATGGAGACCATTAACCAGACCAGCAAGATTTCTGCAGGAACAAGCTTTGGAGAGTCAAAGCTCACTCGGCCAGACACCAGAGCTTTGACTCTCCAAAGCTCCCACCCCAGAAATCTTGACGGTCTCTAAGGCACAACCGGATTCGAATCCAGCAGCCAGCTCTTGACAGAAACTGCTCTTTTTCAAGGCCAGCTCTTATCAGAACTAGGGCTTGCCCAAGGTCATCCAGCAGCTGCAAGTGGAGGAGTGGGGAATCGAACCCGGCTCTCCCAGATGAGAGTCTGCGCGCTTAACCACCACACCAAACTGGAAACAGGGCTGTGGGAGAAGGGAATGGCTCTGCAGGGCAGGGTTATAAAGGAAACGGGTCTGTAGTCCAGGAGCCCCTTGAAGACTAACAACATTTGTGACAGCAGCAGATGAACTTTCTCGACCCACTCTCACGTCTTCAGTTACAGCTAGAATGGGAGTCCATCTGTCCTCATAGCTTGGAGAGTGAAGTGGTTTCAGATGCCGAATGACAACAGCAGGCGAATGGCAATGACTGAATTAGGAGATATGCAGAGGGGTCGTAGGCGTGGAGAAACTGACTCGCGAAAGCTCATACCCTGCCACAAATTTAAGATGCTCTTTTCTGGTGCTAAAGGTAAAGGTTCCCTTGCTCGAAAGCCAGTCGAGTCCGACTCTAGGGTCGCGGTGCTCATCTCCGTTTCAAAGCCGAAGAGCCAGCGCTGTCCGAAGACGTTTCTGTGGTCATGTGGCTGGCATGACTAAACACCAAGGCGCACGGAACGCTGTTACCTTCCCACCGAAGTGGTCCCTATGTATCTACTTGCAATTTCTTGCTTTCGAACTGCTAGGTTGGCAGGAGCTGGAACTAGAGACGGGAGCTCACTCCGTCATGCGGCACGCTCGGGTCTCGAACTGCTGAACTACCGACCTTCCACAGCCTGCAGTTCAGTGTCTTAACCACTTGAGCCACCGCAGCACCTGGTGCTACAGACAGACTAACACGGCGAACCATCTCGATCTATAGTCCGTGGCATTGTTTATTCTACATATTTATCTTCCTTTTACTGCCAGGTCCCCCACTCTTCTAACCCATTATCTGCACTCTTTTATAGTCTACTATTGGTTGCATTGTTTGTGTGTATTTATAGTGCACTATCGGTTGCATCTTTTGGCTGCATTTGCTTCTAATTTTTTTAGTCCTACTGCATGGCTTATTCTGCCTGGTTGCATTGTTTTTATATACCTGGCTGTCCTCATAAGAGAACATCAGAGAAGGTAATGTTGGATCAGGCCAATGGCCCATCCAGTCCAACACTCTGTCACACAGTGGCCAAAAATACCAGGTGCCGTCAGGAGGTCCACCAGTGGGGCCAGGACACTAGGAGCCCTCCCACTGTCGCCCCCCCCCCCAGTACCAAGAATACAGAGCATCCCTTGCCCCAGATTGAGAGTTCCTATCTATACCTTGTGGCTAATAGCCACTGGTGGGCCTCTGTCAGTGCGCTAAGGATTTTAGGGTGATAGAAAAGCTCCTCCCCTTTGCAGCTTATTCTCACATTCACTTTGCAGTTTGTTCTCAAGGCCAAAAGGCAGTAACTGGCCCCCAGATCATGCAGGAACTTTGCGGATGAGCAAAGATCTGAATCACCCCGAACGCATACGCTGAACTACTGACCTTCCACAGCCTGCAGTTCAGCTTCTTAACCACTTGAGCCACCGCAGCTCCTCTGCTGAGGTCAATACAATACAATTCAGTTCCCACTCTGCCTGATTCCCAGGAAGGGACCTTGTACGGCCTTGACTCTTGCAGGACTGGGGAATGAAGGGGATCTTCCTACCCCAGCATGCCTAACCCACAATGCAGTGCAAAAGGGCAGGAAGTGACTGGTTCATGGACAAGTAGCCTTCTGAGGGGGCCGCTGGAATGTTTTGAGCACCACAAGCTCGAGGGTGAAGAGAACTTCCTTTCAGCCCCGCAACAAAGAAGGAGCCCCTGCAAACAGTCCCTTGTGTCGGTCACAGAATCAGAGAATCGGAGGGTTGGAAGGGACCTCCAGGGTCATCTAGTCCCACCCCCTGCACAATGCAGGAAATCCACAAATACTTCTCCCCCTCCCACACCGCCAGGGACTGCTGTACCACGCCCAGAAGATTAAAAAAAAAAAATATCCAGGATCTCCAGCCAAACTGGAGAATTGCTTCCTGACCCCAAAGTGGTGGTGATCAGCATTTCCGTGTGTGTGCAAGAAAGAGCCACAAAAACAAAGCACTGAGGCAACCCTTCCTGCCCTCCCTCTCATGATCTGTCCAAGTCCACAGAATCAGTATTGCTGACAGACGGCCATCTAAGCCTCTGTTTGAAAACTTCCAAAGAAGGAGAGCCCACCACCTCCCGAGGAAGCCCGTTCCACTGAGGAACCGCTCTAACTGTCAGGACGTTCTTCCTAAAGTTTAGCCGAAAACTCTCCTGATTTAATTTCAACCCGTTGGTTCTGGTCCAACCTTCTGGGGCAACAGAAAACAATTCTGTACCATCCTCTAGATGACAGCCCTTCAGATACTTGAAGATGGTGATTGTGGCGTCCTCGCTTATTGGGGGGAGTGTTTTTATCTTTAAAACACTCACACGCCGTTTGATCTGGTGTCGTGACAGTTCAGCAACGAATTTTATCTGCACAATCACACAGTCAACATCCGCCTCCTGTCCCCAGCTGTTGTTTTCCAGCTCAAAACTGCTTTAACCCGGAGTATTTTGTTACCAGGTCCCAAAGTGGTGTTTTCTCAGCTCTCCCGTTTAAAGTCGCATTTCCCCCCGTGTGATCACTCCTCCAGTGTCAAGCCACTTCTGGCTTAAACCCCCTCCTCGCTCGAAAGCTGCCCGAGGCTTCCACTTTCCGTCCACCATTTTTTAAATGTGTCAGCGGTGTGCACATAGGTGGAGCGCCACTAGTGTGTTTCAAAAACAGACATTTAAACGGTCCCTTGTTTTAGCGTTTAGATGAGTTCGGAATCTCACGGAGGCCATTTTCGGGTCAAACGTTTAAAGGGAAGTCTTTTGATGGAGGGGTTGTATTGATTCGCCCTGGTGGTTCTGCGCATGCGCCATGGTAGTTTTGCCCCATTCTATGGATGAGTGCCTATGCAGATGCACAAACTGAGAAAAAAAAAATTAAAAACCCGCTGACACACGTTCCCGTGCGTCGGCAGTGTAGACACCGGGGATCGATGTTACTGCGTGGTCAGGCGGGATAAATGTGATCGCGATTATCCAGATCAAAAATAATTGTGTCAGAACCGGACCAGTTTAAACTGCTTTCAGCACACCGCCTGAACACATCCATACCTAAGCCTGGTAGATTTCTGCTGCCACCAGGAATTCAAAACTCCAGATCTCTGGGTCTGGGCACTTCAGAGGACTATGTGGCCTTGAGGACTATTCTGATTTCTGGGATAAGTTTAAACAAGAACTGATGTATTTATAAAAGAACAAAATAGGTGTCTGGTTATTTTTGAACTGCTGTTGAAGAAAGGAACTTGTAAATATAATTGGCAAAGCTTGGTGTCACACTCAAGTCTCTTAAACATCAAACTCCACTCTGACAGGCCAATCTCTTTCTCTCTCATAGCCACACAGGCAAAACTGTTTGCCTTATTCACACAGAATAAACCATTTGTCTAAGCACACAGGATAGACACAACTTGTTTCTTTGGACATATAGACTCTCTCACCAAACTCTTATAGTCACACAGACTATAAACTTCACACAGACTCTCTTCAAAACTCTTCCACACTTGTCTCTCTCCCAAGACACACACAGAATCCTCTCAGAAACACCCCTCCTCCCATTCTCTCAGTCATCAGCCAATCACATCACACGGTGCTCCCTCTGTCACTCTCTTCACATTACTGCAGTCACACTAAACCAATGCCAGACCACCTCTGCACATCTCTTGCCTTGAAAACTTGAGCGCCAGTTTGGTGTCGTGATTAAGTGTGAGGACTCTAATCTGGGAGAACTGGGTTTGATTCCCCACTCCTCCACTTGCACCTGGCTGGATGACCTTGGCCAAGCCATAGTTCTGATAAGAGCTGTCCCTGAAAAAGAGCAGTTTCTGTCAAGAGCTCTCTCAGCCCCACCCACCTCGCAGGGTGTCTGTCGTGGGGAGGGGGAGGGGGAGGAAAAGGAGTTTGTAAGCCGCTCTGAGACTCCAAGTGAAGGGCGGGGTATAAATCCAATTTCTTCTTCTTCTTAAAGAAAAGCACACACCAAAACATGATCATTACAGTGATTATATCACCTCTCAATCGTCTCCTCTCCAGGTTAAACATACCCAGCTCCTTCAACCTTTCCTTATAGGACTTGGTCTCCAGACCCCTCACCATCTTCGTTGCCCTCCTCTAGACAGGTATAGGATCCGTCTCTTACCTGAGCAGGTGGCATAGTTGCTGTGTCCAGCCTTCTCCAGAGAGGGCACGATCCCGACTTTGAGAGTAACGCTGCTCCACTGTCTATGAGGAAAGAAAGGGGACGAGGGAACTTTGATCCTTTGGACATATGATTTTTGCCTGTTCCCCTCTATGGTGGCAGACCTGTGATTTTTCCCCAAAGCAAATTCTAGGGGAAGGGGGTTTCTCCCATTCCTCCAGTTTAAACATCTAAGAGGAGCGTTTTGAACGGCAGAGGGAAGAGACAAGTCATACTTCCTTCCCCCCCATGGAAAATGTGGGCAGGATCCACCCTTCTATGAGGAGATGTATCGAGTCCACGCTTTGCCACTGGTCCGAAAAGGCATTCAGCACTATACAGAACACATTTGTTGTGCGGACAGAGAGAATAAGAGACAAACCTTAAGGCAAAGAGAACTCGAACAGGACAAAACAAAAGCATACGAAGACAGGATCTGAACAGATTAAGCAGAATTATGGCGACCAGTGTTCCCTCTAAGATGAGTTAGTGTGAGCTAGCTCACAGTTTTTTTAGCCTTTGGCTCACACATTTTTTTTTAAGCTCAGGGAGGATGGCTCCAGAGCAAACTAATTGATGCAGTAGCCAAATCGCTCCCTCACAACTTTAATGCCAGGAGCTCACAAAGCAGGATTCTTGCTCACAAGACTCCACAGCTTAGAGGGAACATTGATTGGCGACCCCAAAGGGTTTTCAAGGCAAGAGATGTGCAGAGGTGGGTTTGGGATTGGCTGCCTCTGCCTAGGGACCCTGAGGCTTCCTTGGTGGTCTCCCATCCAAACGCTGACCAGGCTGACCCTGCTGAGCTCCTGAGATTTGACAAAAAATCAGGCTACCCTGAGCAATCCAGCGGTGAGCATGTTATTGTTAGTTAAAGCAGGCAACAAGCGATATCAGCAAGGACCCCCAGCCTGTGGGCCAGTCAGCAGAAGACACTTGGTGGTCAAAAGGGTCTGCTTTCAATTTAATAGATTTTCATGGGCCCTAAATTTTCATTTCCCCACCATGATGTGAGGGGGAAAAAATTAGAACATCTTCTTCGACCCTAAAGGTTCATTCCCCCCCCTCCCCAATTTTAAAAGAAAGGAAACCATTTTGGTAGCCCCTTAAAGTATTGCGAGCCCTAGGGCACTGTGCCTAATGGATAAGTCAGCCTTGGCTGAGGGGCCGACCAGTCACCGTGTCTCGGCCTACCCTACCTCCCATGGTTGTTGTGAGGATAAAATGGAGGAGAATGAGGTCAGCCGCTTTGGAGGAGAAAGGCCCGGTACAAATGGATAAAACAAATAATAAACACCGCAGATACTTCCTAGGCTGTTCTCTGCTCACTAGCGAAACCAGAGATACACAGTAAGGAAGAAAAAGAAGAAGAGATTGGATTTATACCCCCGCCCTTCACTCCCCAAAGGTGTCTCAGGGCGGCTTACAAACTCCTTTCCCTTCCCCTCCCCACAACAGACACCCTGCGAGGTAGGTGGGGCTGAGAGAGCTCTTGACAGAAACGGCTCTTTTTCAAGAACAGCTCTCATCAGAACTAGGGCTTGCCCAAGGTCATCCAGCCAGGTGCAAGTGGAGGAGTGGGGGCATCAAACCCCAGTTCTCCCAGATTAGAGTCCTCGCACTTCACCACTACACCAAACTGAACAGCGATAATAAGAACAAAACTTGGAAGATTTTTGGTGAATCATTTTGTACACAGTTTTGTCCTTATCACTCCCGAAGGAAGCCTGATGTCAGCACAGGGCATCCATAGAGAGTCTCAAACCCCCCCCCCCCGCCTTTGCATACAAGAGGAAAGCAGCCCCCTCCCTAGTTTGTGGATAGGGCAACTTGGCAGACGGCTGGAAGAAAGGGGGGGGGGTCGCCTGTCCTCTGTCCTTTGGCCCACTTTCCCTGCGGGGGGGGGGTCCTCCCCAGCTAGTGTCATTAAGTCCCTCCCGGCCACCAGTGGGCGCTGGGGGGGGGAGGGGGAGGGTTGCCAGATCCAGGTGGGGAAACTCCTGGAGATTTGGGGGGTGGAGCCTGGGGAGGAAAGGGACCCCCCCTCCAGGGGGCAAAGTGCTATAGAGTCCACCCCTCCAAAGCATCCATTTTCTCCGGGGGGGGGGGGCCTGTTTCTTTCGGCCGGGGGA